AAAAAAAAAAAAAAAAAAAGAAATCCAAAAATATATAGTTACAACTTTAGAAACGATAATTAAAATTTTTGACATTGCTATTAAGCCTTCTGCTAATTCTTAGATGCTGATAAGATTCTACCACATTTATAAAGGTTTACAAACCTTCATAAAAGTTCTATATCTTTATCTATCAAATCTTCTACTTCTGCTTATATTTGTGAGACAGATTGTGACCTCAAAAGAGGGAATTGCAAAAAGGGAGACTCCAGGTCACATCACACAACACAGACCTCCTGCCGCTTGTGATCTCAAAACGTCAGGATAGTTCGGATGCTGAAATGTAAAATGAGAGTTTTTAGTTATTTGTTTTCATATCTTTCAAACAAGAATAAACAGTTCCTATGTGTTATAGAAACTTCAAGTAAATTCAGCTATTGGAAATCCTTTAGGCTTGACGTCCTCACCAATTCATTTCCTTTATTTGCATCTCTGATTAAGGATTCCTGAGCTGATTCTAGAAGCATCAGTATAATTGCAATAGGTCGACAAGAGGAAAGGGGTTTTCAGGCAGGAGAGGAAGCATGAGTGAGCTTAGGAAGGAATGGATTGGAAGAGTAATCCAGTGTGCTTAGACTTCTTGGTGTACAAGAGATCCTACAAGTAGATGAGAAGCTGATACTCATAGTGTGGGTGCTAAATCTTTAGTTGTTGAATGACCAGATAAACTAATACATGAAAATTGGTTTTTGGTTCAATAATACAGGCTTTTGAAACCATGCTGAGGCACTGACATTTTAAGATAACTTGAGCTTGTCAGCTTAGGGAAGGACTGAATAGAATGGTAAAATACAAAAGACAAGAAACCTGTTACCACACTATGATGATTAGACCAAGCTAAAGCAACAATCATGGACTGTGAGATGAGGGATGCCAGAGAAGAAACCAGAGGTTGCATCATCAGGGCTTAGCATCAGGCTGTATTTGTGAGCATGAGTGGAAAAGAAGTCAGACATGACTTCTCTTCTGTGAAATAGGAATAAGTGACATATAATTTGATGAGACAAAATGTACTGGTGGGACAATTATTTTGAGTGAAATTCAAATGGAGCTGTGCAAGAAGTAAATGGAAATTTAAAAGCTTTGGTTTGCAAGTGTCAAGTTGGAAGTCACTGCATTAAGGTGATATTTAATGAAAAATTCCTGAGAGCAGAGCTTATGGGTTTTTTATTTGTTTTTCATGTTTCTAGTAATTATTTTTCAATACCAATTACTTTCAAGACTAATATGAAGCTATTAGTTTTGCTTATCTGAATAAAGGAGTGTTGAGTGGTTCTGACAGTTTTTCTGACAGACACCCATTGTTTACTTGCTCAAAAATAATTTAAATGTATGTTCATAATATGATGATCTCATAAGCTAGACAAGATGTAGAAAAAAGACACAACATTGAAAAAGTACTCAGTTGAAAAATTAGCAAAAAAAAATTTGGATGTCAGATTAATGTATAGTTTCTTTTACTAATAAAACCCAAATCCTTGGTACAGAGTAATGCTCAATAAATATTTACAGGACCAATGAACAGAATGCCATTTCATCTTGTGGACAGGCTCTTTGCTGTTCCAGAGTTCCATGAGGTAGATGTTGCAGTTAAAAGTCATGTGAATTCTTCATGCTTGACCTCTGCCCTTGCTTAACCCTCAGAAGCAAGAAGGGTATGACCAGAATACTCCTGATTACTCGGAGTTTGCCACGCTCTGCCAGAGAAGTTTGGCATGTTATGAAAAAAGCACAGACTTTGCACTGAGCTTGCATCCTGGCACTGCCCCTAAAAGGTCTGATAAGTTATTTATTTGCCTCTCACAACTTCAGTTTCTTCATCTGAAAATGATAAGAATAATACCTGACCACAGGGATCAGAAGAATGCACATTTGAAAAAACATTTTGAAAACTATTAAACAAGAAAATTTTGTAGCATTACTTGAAAAAACTAGCAGCTCTATGGTGAAATTAAAATAGCCAAGATGAAATCAATCAGGTATGAAAAAACAAAGTCCAGAAGGTTTTTAAAAATTGGTTAATAGAGGGCAATGGCATACTAATTCTATGAAAAGAAGTAATCAGCTATATCAATCTGGCTAGATTAAATAATCAGAAATAAAATATGAAGAAAACAGAAGCTTTATAAGTTTTAACTTTTATAAGTAGCATGTGGAAAAGAGATAAGATTATTATAACCTCCTCCCCACAAAAAAACCACACTAGATACCTTTGCCCTGAATAGAGCAGTTCAAATCCTTCATTGATTTTTTTAAACGGTAAAACATGAGTTATCAACTGGTCCAGGTCAAATTTCTTTGCCAGGAAATCAGTTACCAGTTTTGGGACTTCGTCCCTGCTTTTCCAACCTGTAAATAAGCACATATTTTCTCTTTAGATTTTACTACATAATCTTTAACATTTGTATCTTACATTTGTTTCTTCTCTCTCCTGCATTATGACCTTTCCATATATTGGATTATTCGAGCAGAATACAAATAAGTTTTATTTCTCTCATCTTAAGAAACAAAGGCCAACAAAAAACCTTTTTTGACCCCCACATCTTCTTCCAGCCACCCCATATCTCTGCTCCTATTACAGAAAAACTTTTTTACTATATGGAAATAATTGTCTTCAACTCACTGTTTCTGGTTCCAGGTCCTTTCCTCTCATTGTCCCCTGAGTCCATTCCACTTAGGCTCTTGCCCTAGCACTCTGCTTAACAGCTCTTATCAAGGTCATCCTTGACCTCCATTTTGAACAGACAAGGGTCCATCCTCAGTCCTGGTCTTACATGAACTATTTAAGTGGATTTGATACAACTGTTGGCTCCCTTTTTTTCAACATTGTTCACTTGGTTTCTAGATTCTATATCATTGTTGTTCTCCTTCTTCACTTGCTACTCTTCCCAGAGATCTGTGCTAGGTCTTCCATATTTCCCAGAACTCTAACTCTATGTGTCCTAGAGCTTGGTCCTTGGACCTTTTCTCCTCTTTATCTACATTGACTTATAGGGGGATCTCCTCTGGTCTCATGGCTTTCAATAAACTCTGCTTAAAACACTTAGGTCTCTGTCTCCATGCTAGACCTCTACCTGAACTACAGACTCATATATTGGATTGTCTACCTGACGTGTCTATTCAGATGTCTGATGGGCATTCTGGTATAACCAGCCCCAAACCATTCCTGATTTCTACATCTTCTACCCTAGCCCCCAGTCTGTTTCTCTTACAGTCTTCTGTCTCAATAAATGACAATGATTCTATCAATCCTGTTGTTTAGGTCCAAAAGCTGAGAGTATCACTTGGGCTCATGAAATGACCTACCTACTATCCCAGTTTCAGTTGCTAGCTCAGTTCCATGTTACAATCTTTAAAATATACCCAGGATCCGCTTCTTACCAGCACCATCACTTCTCCAAGCCACCATCATCTCTCTCCTGCATTTAATAGTTCCTTTCACAGTCTCCCTGCCTATGTCCTTTGCCCCCATATAGAATATTTCCCACAGAGCATACAGAAAGAGGACTCAGGTAAAATGGACATCAGATCAGGTCACACCTTCCTCAGAAGCCCCTATGGCTTTCTTCCCCATTCAGAATAAAATTCTAAAACCTTGCAATGATCAAAGAGCCCCATATGATCCGGCCCTCTGACCTCAGCAGCTACTATTATTCTGTCTTCATCCTGCTGTAGCCATACTAGCCTCCTCTCTGATCTCACTGCTCTTGCCAACACTCTTCTGCATTTACCCTGCCTCCTCCCTGAAATATTCTTTCCCCAGATTTCTGAATAACTCATTTCCCTTACATTTTTGCTCAAACATTACCTTATCAAGGAAGCCTCCCCTGAACTTTATAAAACAGTGTTCCCCTCCCCTTCACCCAGTCCTCTTGCACTACCCATTGCCCTTCCTCTATGTTTCCTTTGCACTTGTCACCATATGGTGTTCTTTGCACTTATGTATTGTCAGTCTGTCTACACTAGAATGAGAGAACTCTCATATTTCCTGAGAGTAGGGACTTGGGATGTTTTGCCTCACCTCCAAAAACACATCCCTTCCAGGTGCGTCCTGTAAAGAGCAGCATCGGGTCATAGGTGAGCATCTTGGCTGATGGAGGTGCTCCAACCACCACACTGGTCCCATAGTTCATGTGGCAGGATGCCAGGGCATCGATCTGAGTTTAAAATAAGGGGCATTATTTGCGTCTTATGTCTCTTACAGTATCACATGGGCTCATAAATGACCTACCTACTGTCCCAGTTTCCGTTGTTAGCTCAGTTCCAAGTTACAAAATTAAATTAAGCTGTCTTTTGTTTTTTTTACATGCTTTTATAAATTCCAATGCAACATTAGTTTTTAATTAAACTCCTATACACTTTTGCCCTTTGAGGCAGAAAGAAGTAATTTATGTGGTCAGTGTTTGTGACATTTTCAGTGTGCCACGGACTAAAACACTGGGGAAATTCTTGTGATATTTTCTTAACAATATTACCAATTCAGATACATTAAGAAGTCATTTGAGCTAAACTAACTTGAATTAAGTATATCAAATTGATTAGCATAGCTTTCTTTAAAAATTTAGTTTAAAAATTAAAATACTAAAATGTGAGACAAAAGATTCCCTTTTCTGGGACTAATTCCACATTTTCTGGTCGTTAGCCCATCCAGTTACTAACTAGTCATTTTTTTGAAATCTTGCTAGATTGTAGCAACAGATGATAACATTTTTTCAGAGACCCATGTTCATTCAAATATCATCTGGAAATCAATAGGCCCAAATCATCTATCCAATATTGCATAGGGCTCCATAAACATAAATCCAGAATGCTATTTGTTGATATGGAATAATTCTAAGTGATTCACTAGGAAAGGGGTATGGTAGCAATGATAAGTTAAAGACTCTTATTCCTAAATTATCAAAAGCATAAAAAGTGAATTTAATCTACTATTTAATCCTGAGCAAGATTGGCTTTGTCCTATTTTTCCAAGTCTCCTTACCCTACCCCCAGGCTCAGGGTTTTCTGATTCCAGGAGCCCTAGACCTATTTCACAGGCCTAAATTGGGCCTAGTGCTGCTGACTGCCACAAAAGAGATGTGTTTAGAAAGTTGAAGGCTCATATTTTAAGGGAATTTACATGGGAGGAAATAAAACTCAGGTGTAAAGAGTGAGAAGTTGAATAGATATGGATTTGGGGGAAGAGACTGCAATATTTGGAATAATCCCTTTCCCCTGAATCTCTCCCTCATCTATCCTCAGGGAGTCTCTTGGTTCAAGAGATGGAATCATATTTGCCAAGAAATCCACATATATAAGGAATATAATACTTTAAAAATTATTTAGAATAGTTAACTACCTTGCTCTCTAGTCACTTAGAAGCAGTAGGATGTGATACTTATTACCTGGGTCAGAAAGATCTGCTTTTAAGCTTTGGATTTTTTTAAACAAAATTGCCATGTGATTAGCAGTTTTTGCTTAAGCAACAGATATTTCTATAGGTGATTATCAAAAGAGTTATGGGAAATGAATTTCACCTTGTGTGCATCTAATAGCTTAGGTATTTTGTGGTTTCCCAAATTTTGGCTCTTACCATGGTGTCAAGACGCCCAATAACTTCAAAGCTGTACCCAACAGTGTTGCCCGTCATTTCTGACAACACCTCACTGATGGGCTTTGTATAGTCCTTGGGGCTGATGCAGTCAGTGGCACCTACAGCCATGGCTTTCTCAAATTTGTCTTTGTTGAGGTCAATCCCAATGATCCTCGATGCACCAGCTGATTTACAACCCATGATGACTGATAGGCCAACTCCTCCCAGACCAAAGACAACGCAAGTGGAACCGGGTTTGACCTGTGGAGAGAAATGTTCCCACACATGTTAGTGGTAGGGTCAAACAGTGAAGCCTACAGTGAAAGCCTCTGATAGGAACAAAAAATTCAGAGGATTGCTGATGTCAGCTAGGACAGGATGACTCATTCTGATTTTACTGTCACAAAGAGGACTAGAAACAGTGCAAGGTCTGAGGAGAGAAAAGGAGTTATTTGCCAACACAAAAACAGCATTTGCTAGATAAATAAAAATCTTTCATAAAAAGTTACATCATTCAGGCCTTTGTTGTGGGAGTCTTGCAGCCTTCTTGGCCACCACTCACACTCATCTAACCTCAGAGCAGTATGAAATAAACACTAAGATCCCTATAATCTCTCCTCTACAAAGTCATGCTAAATCTGTTTTGAGTTTGGTCTAGCATTTTCCAAATAACCATAACTTTGAGCCATTTGTAAATAAATTTGTTTTTCATTAAAGTCCAATCTCCACGTTGCAGTTAGATGATCCTGGAAGGAAAGGTAATCAAATCAGTTTTTTACCCTATAATGTGCTATATGAAAGAGAGTTCTAGCTAAAAGTCATTTTTCTGCCTGAAGAAACTCAATCCAGTTTTACAGCAGGTAGCAGGGAGAGCTGAACACAGGGAAATCCATGAAATGGGTATGATCCTTATTTTGAGAGTTTCTTTCCTTTTGTTGATGTAAAAGTTTATGTGTGAGTTTTTGAATCCTCATAGCAATCTTTAAATCTAAGGGGAGGGTGGTCTTGAGAGACTCCTAGTATATCCCCATAGTAAAAAGTTTGGCCTATTTTTACATAGGCAGACACAAAAATGTATGTTCATTAAAATGATTTCTCTTAAGATAGAACTTGCAGTAAAATATCGTATTCAAAACTGGCAAATGCCTTGGTAAATAGAATATTAACCGAGTACTAATATGGTGCCAATACATCAAGTACAGTTATAAAATTACAAATAATGATGTAAAACTATATCAAGTGCCCCATTTTACCGCTACATAGGCAGCAAATTTCTTAGTGGAAAGTCTTAAGGAGACCCTGGGAAGAAATGTTCCATCTCCAAGGTTTTACCAAGAAAATCTAGAATCAAGTGGAAATTAACAAAATGCTACTGGTAGGTGCATGCATACTAATGTTACACATTCATAAATCTCAGAATCCCTGTCTAGGATAAATAATTCTACTTCAATACCTATATGTATGTTGTCTAGTACGCCCTCATCTTTTTATCCTTCCATGTATTTAGCTATTTTTTTATTCATTCATACTTTTTTCAATATTTATTAAGCTACTATTACAACAAGGCTCCTTGCTGAATAATGCAGTAAATGAAGGAGACTTTGTTCAGGCCTTCATGGAACTTACAGCATAATGAGGAAGATTAAAGATATAATGAGAATTTGAGATTTGAGACACACACTATAAATGAAGCAATCATTTTTTTTCTTGAATAAATGGAAGGAGTAGTTGCTTGGAAGGAATGAAAATGTTTTTAAAAATTAAAAAAAAAAAAACTTCATCTTTAAACAGTAATGTTAAGGAGTCAACCACTTGAGGGCAGGGTGAATGAGTATTCCAGACAATTGGAACAGCATGTATAAATGCCTTCAGAAGGAAAGAGCTTAGCAGGCTCAAAGATCTCAGAAAAGGCAAGTATGGCTGGATCATAGTGGGTGAGATGAAATGGTTCCAAGTATGGGAAGCTACAAACAAATCTTAGGCAAAGAAGCAGTGTGGGCTACTTTTTATTTATTTATTTATTTATTTATTTATTTGTTTATTGAGTTGGAGTCTCACTACCTCAGACTTCCAAGTAGCTGGAACTTTAGGTGCCATGCTCAGCTAATTTTTTTAATTATCGTAGAGATGAGGTCTCGCCAAATTCCCAGACTGGTCTCAAATTCCTGGGCTCTGGCAATCCTCTCATTTTGGCCTCTCAAAGTGCTGGTATTACAGGTTTGAGCCACTGTACTGTGCCCAGTCTTACTTTATGCTTTATAAAGACTACTCTGACTTGAAAATGAACAATTATTGAAGATGGTCAAGAAGAGCAGTGAGGGAGTCAATGGCATGGTTCCAGTCAAGCTGTGATGGTGGAATGAGCTGGAAAAGATGGAAAGATTGAAAGTGTTCCTCACAGGAATGTCTGCAGAACCTGTTGTTGGATTGGATATGAGGTGATGAAGAGGGAAGACCAAGGGCTAAGAAAATTGGAGTAGGGGTAAATATGTTTGGGGGGCAGACAGAAAGAAAATTAGGAATTTAGTTTTATACACGTAAAGTTTGAGATATTTATAAGGCATCAAACTGGAGATGTCAGGTAGAGAGTTGAGTTAAAATAACTGGGGCTCAGAGGGAGTCTGAGATATAAATTTGAAATTATGAATATATTGATAGTTTTTTAAGACTTTGGAGATGGATAAGACCACCATGTATGGGCATTATTTGGATTGCTTGCAGGAATGATTTTACTATTCATGAATTGTGTGTTACTCCACTTACTTCTTTTATTCAAAAATGGTAACCAAAATTGAGTCCAAATAACTCTTAAAACTCATTTAAGTTTTTGTATTATATATTAGCTATTAGTGATTGAATCGTGTCCCCTTCAAAATTAATATGTTGAAACCTTAACCTCTATTTCCTCAGACTTTGCCCTTATTTGGAGACTTTGCTCTTATTTGGTCTTGCAGCAGTAACTAAGTTAAAATGGGCTTTATAATTGTTGTCTTAATAAAAAGGGGAAATTTGTACATGAAGACACGCATAGAAGGGAGATGATGTGAAAAGACAAAGGGAGAAGATGGCCATCTACAAGCCAAGTAGAAAGACCTGGAACAGATCTTTCCTTCACAGCCCTCAGAACAAACCAACTCTGCTGACACCTTGATTTTGAACTTTTGGTTTCCTGAACCATGAAAACAAGAAATTTCTGTTGGTTAAGTCACCCAGTCTGGGGTACTTACTACAGCAGCTTTAGCAAACTACTGCACAAACACTGACAGTTATTTGTGAAATAAAAAAGATTAATTTTACTTTTAATTATTTTATTGATTGATTGATTGATTGAGTCAGGGTCTCACTCTGTTGCCCACGCTGGAGTGCAGTGTCATGAACACAGTTCATTGTAGCCTTGACCTCCTCGGCTCAGGTGAGCCTTCTGCCTCAGCCCTCCAGGTAGCTAAGACTACAGGTGTGCACCAGCACACCCATCTAATTTTTTTTTGTTGATATTTTGTAGAGACAAGATCTCACTATGTTACCTAGACTGGCCTAAAACTTCTGGGCTCAAGTAATCCTCTCACCTTGGCCTCCCAAACTGCTAGGATTACAGGTGTGAGCCATCACACCTAGCCAAAAGATTACTTTTAGATGCAAATCTAAATTTTCAAAATTAAATCTGAAGAAGATATGAGGAAACAAAAATTTGTTCTAGAAATTTTGTTCTATTTGTTTAGAAATAAAATTTTCAATCTGAAATTTTTTATGATTCTTTCCATTGATTTAGCATTGTGTAGAAACAGCCTGAATATGAGATATATTTTCAAAAAGTTTTTTCAAAAATCTTCAGGATTCCAAGAAAATCATTTTAAAGAGAAAGGAAGAAAGAAACTAGCCCACCCTGTTTCTTACCTTGCCAGTTTTAATAGCAGCTCCATATCCAGTAGAAAATCCACAGCCAATTAAACAGACTTTCTCAGGAGGAGCTGAGTCATCAATCTTAGCCACGGAAGATTCATCCACCACTGTGTACTCAGTAAACGTGCTGGTGTTCATAAAGTGATAGACTGGTTTGCCCTTGCATGTAAATCTGGTGGTGCCATCAGCCAGTACTCCACGACCAGTAACACTATTGGTATATCAAATACATATATTAGTTAATTCAAGTTAAAAATTAGCATGGGAACAATTTAAATAACATTAGAATAAAAATGACTGAAACCTACTCGCTTCTGATGCAAAGATTTCCATCTGGATTACGGCAAGCATTGCATTCTCTACATTGTGGCAGAAAGAGAGGGATGACTTTGTCACCTAGAGGAAAAAATCATGATATAACGTGCTGTTCATTCACTTTAAAATATAAAATAACAAATATGAATTGAACCCAAATGACATGCAACACTTTTTTTAAAGTACTGCAAATTTTACAGTCACTGTAAGGTTTAGGTTGGCTTTGAAAAGGTTGAGATTTTGCCAAATTAAACATCACTTAGTACAATCCATTCTCCTTGTATCCTCTCTCTATTTCCCTATATCATGTTAAGGCTCTCTCTAATAATTCCTTGTGTGTGCTGTTTCCTTTAAAATATTAAAGCCTATTTATTTCAGGCTTATGACTTGACATCTGCTTATACCTGGCTTCACCGTGGTGACTCCTTCCCCAATGCTCTCTACAACTCCAGCTGCTTCGTGTCCCACAATCACTGGAAATTTAGACACCATTGCTCCTTTTATCACGTGGTCATCTGTGCGACAGATTCCCGTGGCCAAAATCTGTGTTCAAAGACAAGAACACTGCATCAACCAGCAAACTGGTCATTTTACAGTTGAGGGAATAGTTAAGTCTCTCTTGAAGAAAGTATCATTATTTATTCAATGTCACTGCCTTACATACTAGTGTTGACTCTTAGAAGATTCTGAGCCTAAAAGTAGCCATCAAATAAATTCGTCCTCTTCAAGAAACTTACAGTATTGCCACGTCGGGCCATAAGTTGAATCTTGGTGCCTTTTTTTGGTAAATTGTGCTCTTATAAGGGACCAAGAATGCAGATGTTACTATGTGATAACCCCAAAGTAGATTTTTTTAACTAGGCCTTCCTAGGACTCTCTTAATAAAGAGTAGAGAAAATGGCATGCAAGAAGGTAAATGCAAAGCAAAGTCTTACTGCTAGTGCAGTGCTCGAGTAACAGGAGAGGGCAAAGAAAGATTGGCGGCAATGTCTACCCAACAACTGGTATCCAAAGCAAAGTTTAGGCTCTGTCCAAAGGAATAGCGGGAAACACTCCAGGAAGTTGTTTCTCCAGCCACAAATGAGTTCCTCATTCTTTGTGGAAAGTAATCTCAATACAATCAATCTGACTCCCAGGAGGTTTTAAAAGTCGTTAGTCATGATTATTAGTCATTTTTAATCAGATACTATGTCAATAAAAATTCAACAAATGAAAACTTTAATAGAGCAGATTAGCACTTTTAAAAAAAATTGACAATGAACTCTTTAAATTAAATGACCAGATCTTTGAATATACAAGAACCAATAAGAGAATGAATACACCAAACTTGGGAGCCATCTCCTTATTAAAGAATCCAGCCTCACAACAGTGATATATACAATATAGATGTGATAACATTTTATTAATAGGCTCATGTACTCCAAGGCCTTATCTTACCTTAATGCGAACTTCTTTAACCTTTGGTGGGGCAACTTCTATTTCCTCAATAGAGAAGGGCTTCTTCAGTTCCCACAACACAGCTGCTTTGCATTTAATAACCTAAGAAATTGGCAAGTGTTATAATGGATCCTAGTTATTTCTTTAATACAGACTCCCTGAATAATATAAATGTGGACAGAAGAGCACATATAATACCCTAATTTTCTCAGAATGATTTTCATCAAATACTAGAATTGTAAGCCTTATTAGCCATCTTGTGTATTCCTTTGTTTGATGTATGAGAAATGCAGCCCAGAGAGACTAAATGATTGATCCATGGTCACAGCACGTGGGATGAAAGGCTGAACCCGATCTGAAATACATTCTTTCTAGTTCATTGTTTGTTTGTTTTGTATTTTGCTGGTGTTCTCATAATATTTCAATAAATTAGGTTCTTTTACTATAATTTCAAATGTAATAGACTAACACAATTGTCATCTGTGAAGCATTTATTCACAGAGGTCAAATTTATAAAACAGAAAATGCATACAAGAATTTAAGCCTGTATTCAGTTGCTGATGATGACATGTAGCAATGGTGCAGAAATTAGACAATTTGCACTCTATGAGACACAGGGACCCATGACCATAATGAAGTGTATCAACTGTGACAGTGAGTTCCTGGATGACTGAGTCTGTGCCTTTGCTTCTTTTTATCCCTTTTGCAAGTAGCCCGGTTTTTGTAGGTTTTGAGAGTTATGTAAGTTAAAGCTGCTTATCTTATAGAAGTGGGAATTAGTGTGGAGGCAGGCAACGACTGGCCTCCAGTCGTTTCACTGGTTTTGCTAGACTTGTTCAATTAAGAGGTTTTCTAAGTTTATTGAGTTCTGACAGAGAGAGAGAAAGAGAGAGAGAGAGAGAGAGAGAGAGAAAGAAGCTGTTTATACTGTTTATAACTTTCCACTCCCCAAATATGTTTAGGAGTCCTACAAAATATTTTAGTTAATTTGTTTAGATGCAAAATGAGTTGGCCTTCATCTTACCTCTCAGTGAATGCAACAGTCTTCCTTTAGATGATTAACAAGGAAAGAGATTAAATGCAAAGAAATTAAATGTGAGAAAGGATGTGCTGGAAATATATGGGTAGCTGGAAGCCATCAGTAACTCAATTTAATAGTTAAATTAAACTATTAATGTAACTTCCTTGCCAAGGAAAATGTTATGAGTCACAGTGTAATTTGGCCCAACCAGTGCTGAAGTTAGAAACCTCACGCCACATTCCCAAACAAATTCCAGGTAGATTCATTGTTAAGATTTATTTTTAAAATCAAACTATTTCTTCAATCAGTGAAGACAGTATCAGTCATATAGAGCATGGAGGAACTTTTATGTTTAAGAATGATAGAAAAATCACAAAGGAAACAGCTCCTAAGAATAAAAAACGTTATGTATTAAGACACAATAAGTAAATATTCCATACTGAAAGCAAGTAGTCCCAAGGAAAAACACTTAAAGCAAAAATGATAAAAGTTTCCATGTTTGATATATACAATGCTTAATCAAATACATAGGGAAAGCATTAAGACCTTCATTCCTGCCAGGTGCAGTGACTCATGCCTGTAATCCCAGCACTTTAGGAGGCAGAGGCAGGAGGATTGCCTGAGCTCAAGGGTTCGAGACTAGTCTGAGAAACATGGTTAGATCTCATCTCTACAATTAAAAAAACGAAAAAATTAGCCAGACATGGTGGCACACATCTGTAGTTCCAGTTACTTGGAAGGCTAAGGCAGAAAGTCCAGTAGGTCGAGGCTGTGGTAGCTGTGAGTGTGTCACTGCACTCCAGCCTGGGAGATAGAGTGAGATTTTGACTCAAAAAAAAAAAACAAAAAACTTCACTCCTGACACTTCTGCTCCTTTCTGCATACCATATTCATACCCCGGGATGGAAAATATAGATCACAGCATGTTTTTTCTTCTTGCTCATAAAAAGTATTTTTACAGAAATAATAATGAGATGCAATTCTGTCTATCAAGTCAATAGTGATTTTTTGCTTGATTAGCGCATAGAGTACTGTCAGAGGGATAGTAAAATGGGACATCTTATTCATCTCGACACCTTAGGAAAGTAATTTTCAGGGTACATAAAGATACTTGAGAATGTGTTGACATTTTCACCCTAAAATTCCATTTCTAAAGTCTACCTTACAGAAATGCTAACTTTATAGAAATCTTAATATATATTAGAAGTCATCACAGCACTATTTACAAGGGGAATATGTAAGCAATAATAGAGGAAAGATGAAATACATTATCGTAAATCTAGAAATTAAAATTAGGCATTTAAAAATACTTGCAATTGAGAAAATGTTTATGTTAAGATGAAGAAATAGGATTAGAATATTTGTATATTGTGTGAGTACAGCCACATTGAACATGGACAGAAAAATGAATAGAGGGAAAAACAACAAAAAAAATGAAATCAAGGGTAGTTTGGAGATGTAAGATTATGGTTAATTATTTTCCCTCATATTTTGTGATTTTTCAATTTTTCTAGAATGATTATTGTTATGTACTGAATTGTGTCTCCCCACAAATTCATATGTTGAAGTCCAAACCCCCAGTACCTCAGGAGGTGATTGTATTTATTTTTATTTTTTTTATTTGTTTTTTTTTTTGAGTTGGAGTCTCATTCTGTCACCCAGACTGGAGTGCAGTGGCCG